GAAAACAAGTGTACTTCTAATTGGTGTCCTTCCAATTGAGTTATCCCATGCCAAAGCCATCTATCTATCAGGAAAATGATTTACATTGTAAAACTCACTTTTTCTCACTTCCACTCATGTCGCTGCGTTGCCTGCTTAAGCAGAGGATTTCTCTCTCACTTGACTTAAAAGTCCCTGCAGAGATTAACCCGTTAAATTACTCTACGGTCTGCCATCGAGTCTTCCAAAACATATGAGATTACACCCAAAGCCGTTGAGCTTCTTACTTCGACACCCGAAGAAATTGCCATTCTTCAGCACGAAACATTTGTGAAAAATGTCGTGAATATTGCGACGCTTTTCTCAAGAAAATCATCATCAATCTAATATTATCTCTATGGGTTGCGTTGTAGTGTAGTCTTTTGGCGCCCTATTTCAATATTAATTATACGAATATTGTGAAATTTACAGGCACACACAGCATGAGAATCTATGAGATGGGTGCCTGAGAGAAAATCATCGTGGGTGGGACGAAAATCTCCCACAAGGAGTCTCCTGTGTCATGTGTAGAAAGTATATTTTATATAATGTATTTCCATCACATGAAATGTCATTACCGATTTCTGTACATCCTCTCCATCTCTCGCCCCCGCATCCACACACTCACTCGCTCGTCTAAATAACAAACCACCCCCCAAAAGTCAACCCCCACGGAGAAATGGGTGAGCTAGGGTGGCCTAAAGTTTCTCTACGAGCGCTTCAGCAGCAGCAGCAGCAGCAGTATAGGGAATTTTGTGTGAGAAAGGCGAAGGGAAGAAAAGCGCTATAGTTCACTTTTTCTCCAACTATGCTAACTGGGCCAGGGAGGAAAATGACGAAAACTTTCCACCATATTATAGACAAAAATGCACCTAGCAAAAAAAACAACTCCTTCGACCCTCTTCTCACACTTTTACTGGGCTCTCCATGGTGTTGTCCACGGTAAAAATAATCATTAAAATTCCCCCTTTGGTCGCCCCCCTTCCACAACCCTAGTCATGGCCTGACATCATCTCTCCGGCACTGAAATATGACATGGAAACAAGGGAGGAGATGTATGAAAGGGTCACAAGAATTTCCTAATGTCTCGAGAGCGAGTGTAGAGCTGCAAAATCTCCACATGTGAGATGTTCATGCATAATCTGTGGTTGAGAAGAGATCTGGAAAAGTTCCCCTCTGTGCGGCTTAGCAACTCTACTCGAGGGCAATATCAATGGGAGGGAATTTAATAAGGTGACTGTCTCCTATTTGTCATCGCCTTTGGACACAATTTCCCATCCAAGCACACACCAACGAACAAGTGAGTCCTGAAAACCGAGGGACACGACTCCGATATTGTTCCCATCCTCAGCAGTGCATCCCTTTTGACTTGGCCGGAGTCAAAAAGGCTCCTGGCTATACTACTTATGTATATGGCAAAGTATTGAGATTAATGAAAGCAAAACTCTCTTCCTTGGATCATTTTCATTAACTCCAATCCCCGAAAATTCATCACCAGAAAGAGAGAGAGAGAGATTGGATGGAATATTCTGAGAAATTGTTGGAGCATTCTTCCTCATTCAGCAACGCCAGAGTGAGTGAAGGGATGCAGAGATGTTGTGAACCTGAAGATGGATAAAGGGAGAGGGAAAAAAAAGCAGGACGAGATGAAGTAAAAAATGAAAAATATCACATCCTGTTCTTTTCTTTCAATGAAAAACGTACAATAGTTCGCCTCAGTCGCCTTCCGTCTCGCATTCAATACACTTTTCACGTGATTCCTCCTCATCTCTTTCAAGCCCATTCCCAATACTTCGTCTCTTCCTCCCACTTCTCTATTTTCTTCCCTGATTATTTCTACTGTACGTCGTATCGTATTCTCGCAACATGTTCAATAACTTTTCTCCTTTTTTTTCTGCTGTAATGTCACATTGCGAGGCACACACAAAAAGGCTCTCCATAGCATAGAAGTCATAATGAAATTGACAGATATTTTTTAACACAAAAATTTGTCTCTCGCTGGCAAAATTCCTTTTCACTCCACGACACTCCAAGTGAATGGGCGAGAGATTTAAATTCATGTGACATACGAAAGAGAGGAGGGCAAAAACAACCCTCGCCATGCCTTTTGTCCCATCGTCCATCGGAGGAATTTCAGGCTGGGAGGGATTGAAAGAGTGACTCAAAAGCTGAATAATGTACAAAAGAGACCCAGAAACTAGTGCACTATAGTTGTCAAAATGCTCTACAATCGCACCTTCTCAGGTGAGAAGGATTTTCTACTTTCCTACCTACTCCCCGACAACGACACCCTTGCCCATATCCAAACCATCTCTCTTTTCGCACACTCTTCGGCGCTTTTTCCCTTCTCCCTCTAAAATCCACCTAGAGGGTTGCAATTCCATGGTTGAGAGATCTGGTGCGAGTGTGAAATAAAATAAATTACAGAGGTGTGCAATTCCTCTTCTTGTTGAGATGAAAATCCCTTGCAGGATTTTTAGGGTGCACACACAATTGCTGCTCGCGACGATACATCATCTTGCGAGTCTTGATTATTTCAGCGAATATTAATTTAGATGGCACATTTACACCCTACAATTTTTCAGCTTTAACTTTAAGTTTTCCATTCGGTCTGAAAACAACAGAACATTCTTGATCACAATTTTCTCAGATATGTAGATAAAGTATGCTTTTTGTGCTGCTCACAGTGCGTTCGTGCATGGAAGAAACTATCAAGGGAGGTTGAGGGGTGAAAAGGAATTCAGAAAAAAAAGATGCCGAAATGCAGAAAATCTCCCTGTTCGACTCAAGTATTAAATTGCTCGGGTGTGGTGTGCATTTAGCCTCTTCGCCTCTCTCATCTTCCCGGTGGATCGCAGGAATGAAAAGAAGCCGAGGCGAGCGAAGGCATGCATACACATTTTGTATATGGATGAGGAGGCAGAAATTTCTGTTAAAGTATAAAAATCCAAAGAGCAGCAGCATCACAGGTAGAAAAGTCGCAGACAAGTTCTCTCTGTTAATTTCTTCCCCTCTACAGCGGAGTTCTTTTTTTCCTTAATTTTTTTTTGCCTCGTCTTCCCTCACACACTCTCTATATCCAGTGTCTGTCAGTATCCGAAGAATTGGTCGCTCTGGAATATCACGGAGTGGATGCCTTTTGGCTTTTCTCAATACCACACCATACAGCGCCCGAAGAGAGCCAATAAAGTCAAGCGCGAAGGCATGAAGAAAAAAGACGGTGATATGAGCTTCTTCTTTTCAGTTTTATCTACCTCTTTTTTTTTCTTCCTCCAAACCCGTAATATAATGCTGGATAAATTATAAGGCTTTAGCGTGTGTGTGAGAGTTGAAAATGCAAAGTGGATGACCTGCATATGGATTTCTCTATACTTTTATATCCTCAACTTATGTACATTCTCCCGAGAACTCCTGCCACTGCCAAGTCTATACAGTATGACTCACAAAATCGTCATTCGACAGCTCTTCTGCCTAAGCGCTGAACATATCGCTGTTGTTCAGGATTCACAGATCAAATCCTGCCAACAATCAAGTCTCCTCGGCTCTGACCATGCTTCCTTCTGAGGAAATTCATTCACAACAGCGACGCACTGCATATCTTACGCGATTTTCTGAGTCATACTGTACAATTGCATGTGCAATCTCCATACATTTGCACATTTTGTGACTTGACGATGAATACGTAACAGTAAAATCCCCATACTTCTTCGGTTGCCACCCAAGGCAGCGAAAACCGCCCAAGTATAGCATCGAGTACACCGACTGCAATTTCACAATGCCACTTTCCTATCTATGGGGGATATCTTGCAGAAACTCTACGCACTATCGCCCGATCGTGGTGCATTTTCGAGCCGACTGTAGCCAATGAGCTCTGAGTGGATTTCGCGGAATTTTCGAGCATTCCGCGCGCCCTAAAAAAGCACCCCGACGTGGCAGAGTGCAATCATCATTTAATAGGGTTGGGAATTATCAGTGCTGCAGAGCCACCTTCTTCATATTCCGCATCACAATTCCCAAATCTCACGCACACGCACGCATTCAATCGATGGAGAGCCGAGCCGATAAATAGATATATGGACAGAGCATTACAATTTTTGAATACAAATGTTGAATAAGTAGTGCATGTAGCTATAACATAGTGTAATATATTGCCCACATTATGTACCAAAGTTGAGCCCGCCAACAAAATACAAGAGTGCGTCGTTGCCAGCTTTTATATAATTCCCTCTCCGGCGCACTGAATTATATGTATTTTTGATACAAACGTACATAAGAGTTGGAAATAGAGAGAAATATAATAATAATAATATGTACGTACATATATGGGTGGGAGAGCAGGTAGTCATCACAGCTACCTCTCTCACTCTCGTCAGCCTTCTTGCATGGAAAATACAGCGGGAATTTTTGGAGCAAGGCCCGCCGCTTCACACTTTTCATTCCCCCCGCCGCCGAAAGACACTTTTGGAGGGTGGAAGACAACCCCAATCGCGTATTGAAAGGCGCCCAGCAACTGCCGTCCATCCTGCTGACTCACCTGCAAAATCTATCCAAGGAAGTCGCCGACAATCAGGTAAAGAGCAAAAATGCCACAGTCTTTCATTTTTACTTTCCATTATTTAACAATAGTTTTATTCTCATCTCTTTATCTTGCAATAAACCTAGAATTTTAAAATATTTTCCTATCTAGTCCTTGTTTTATCTTCATTCCTCTCAACTGCTCTCGCTTATCTCTAGTCATAATCCAAAAAAAGAGATTTGCTTCTTTTTTACACAAAAAAAAGTTCATGACCACCATTTTATATACATGTACGTAATTTTCATACATTTTTCTTTTAATAATATTTTACGCATATTTTTAATTCATCTTAGTGTGTGTCTTTCTTTTGGGTAGAGTTTTACATTTCCTGTCCACTGTATGGGTGTTTTAACAACTATTCTTTTATCTTATATTTTTATACTATTTTTATAGGATTATTTCTTGCTTCATATTTTTTTTTTACTATTTTCTCATGGATACTTTAAAAGTTATTCTTTTATTCGCTTCAATCTCACATGTTTTTCTGTTTTATACTTTTAAATTGTTAATGGTATATAAGTGTGTTTTTAGTCAAAGTTTGCTATTTTTCCTTGATTTATTCCTCTCTTAGTAATTCCCTTGCTGTCTTGTATTTCATTTTCTCCCATATCTTCACCACACATTTTTAATTCGTTGAATGTCGTTTTACACATTTTAACTGTGTCTTACTGTCATTTTATATTCCTTCTCATCTGTACTTTTTTCTCTCCTTTTACCATCCGTCGCGCTTAAATTCATAAATATTCCTCATTCGAGAGACAGAGAAAATACACTGGGGAAGAGATCGAGACTTGAAATTTTCTCTCAACAGGTTTAAAGACATTAGTGGCTGTTTTGAGCATGTTGGCGGTTGTCAGGGAAAAAAACAACGATGAAAAATTGACCATAGATTGATTCTCCTCACGGCAACGCGACGCATTCTCCTCGAGACGACACTCCTTGCAATGGGGTGAGACGTAGAAGGAATTGTGATATTTTGGGAATAAAAAATATATTTTTTTTTGAATAAATTATCAATTTAGTGGTGAGCATTATTCATAGCGAGAAGAGATGACTTTTGAGAGTTTGCTTCTGAAACGCCGTCCTTGGTTTTCTTCTACATTTCTTCGCCTCTCACACTGCTCAACCATACACACAGAGTCTTCCTCTCCTTCTCCACCACGCCACACACACAATATTCATATGCCAGTGTTTTCGAAGCAGAGCCGGACGCTTGAGTCAGTCGAGTTGAAAAAAGAGCCAGAGAGAAATAAGAAAAGTAAAAAATACGCGTATCTCTGAAATTTATATATCTACACCACACTTCGATACATAATGTACACGGGCCTTATTTCAATATAACGTACAGTGTACATAAGAAATGCAGCGTCGATAATGCTGGATAAAAGTGATGGAGAGTGAGACGATGCAGGAGGGAAGGAATGTGAAACCCATACAAGAAAATAATCACGAGTTTCGGAGTGTGTGCCTTTTCCGAAGGCGAAGAAAGAATCACCAGTAGACGAAGGAGACTCTTCCACAATGTTATTTCTTTCTTATACCAATTGGATGTTCTCTTCGCTCGTCTGTCGCATCCATTTTCAACATGGCATTCGCGCTCTCCACCAGAGCATCCCAGAGGCCAAAGGAAGAGCCATCCACCAGCCGGAGAATGCGAACAATCTGGCAAGAAGGAGACTCAAGAAGACACACTCTCAGAATCCCATCCATGCCGCCGTAGTCTGTGAACACTTTTTTCCTTCTCTCAACATCCACAACCCAGCCTGTCTCTTCGGAGGAACACAAAATCACCATGAGGACGGAGGTGAGCAGCTAAAAGAAGTAGTGGAGAAAAAATCGAGAATAGCACCAAAGATGGTGAAAAAGTGGACGAAAAAATGGATGGAGAAAGCAAAAAATGAATAAAACAGACACAACAAATACTCAACGGCAAAAGTTTCAGCTTTTTCTTCCACGGCATTTCTTCTGCACCACCCATAAAACACACTCGAAAACGCATTTACACAGCTGGCAATCACATTCACTCCACTCCTTCGACCTCACCGAGACCCTTTTTCCTCCGTCAAATCCCCCAAAAAAAAACAAGACGATCAAAACTCATTTCTTTTGTTCGTTCACAAGAAATTTGATTGGAAATCCGGCGCGCGGAATATTGGAAAACCACCCACAAATTCTCAAACTAATTACAACCAAAAGGAGGCACACAAGAAAACCATTCATCATCCTCGCATTTTTTTTCTCTTTTAAAATATACTCAAAAACAGAAGAAGAAAAATTGTTAGATTTTTCCCATCTTTGCACCCAAGAATGCTGCCTCTCATTCGCTCAAATACCTCTTCTTCACTCCTCTACACTGCACACACAACACATCAGGCATTGAGGCACTCAGAGAGACGAACATTTGCAATAATAAATGACCTTCAGTAAATGCAAAATATTGCCCTAAAAACCACTTTGCAGGAATGTTAAGCGTCACCATAAAAATCAACAAAATGCCTCCGAGATGTTTTTCAAAGTGCACACAAACCAAATTCGAGAAACGTCTCAGTATCGCCTCGAGAATTGTAATAAAGAAGAATCAATTGCACTTTTTCTCCACCTGTTTTTTTCCCACCCATTTGCTCAACACTTGTGCTCAAGTCCAATTAAAATAAGGAGAAATACAAAAGAAAAAAAAACAATCCCTTTGAGTGAAACAAAGTCTAAAGCTTTTAACCATTCAATAACTCATGTATCCCTCTTGGAGAAAATCCTCAATTTTTTCACACCTAATAGCATTTGTCTGCTCTTTTCTTTAATTTATTTTTTTATTACAAATATTTCATCAACAAAATTGTTTGATTCCTATTTCCGTCTCTCTCTCCACAATATAACTTGCAAAATAGAATGAGAATATAAAAAAAAATTATACAAAGAAATTAAAACATTACACATTTTTCATGTTACAACTAGGCACTGCGCATTCTATTATGCACAACTCTATTAACATTATGATGGAGATTAAAATGTAAGTTGGACTTATTGAGATGCAAAAAAAAACACACATTGAGAGATAGAATAAAAAGGCATTGAATTAATTTGCTAAATACATTTTTTTTTCTCTCCATCTATCTTCATTCTGTAGCTCCAAACCAATACACAGCAGACTCGCACTAAAAAGCGAACAAATCTGGGCGCAAGTGAAATAAAACTTATTAAAGTGCCCCAGACAACAATTGTGTGTTCCGTTGTCCTTGTACTACAATTTATACCAAGAAATAACGAAATTAAATGAAAAATTTCCCGCGTGTATTTTTCCAATTCACTCTTTGGTCTCTCTTGAGCGGGTTTAGAATTATATTAAAATGAATTTAATTATAAATTTCCTTTTGTGTGTGCCTGAAGAAAAACGATCTCTTGCGCAATAAATTCCCACATTGAGGTGTATTTAGCACATGATGAAAATTAACTAAATAACACATGAAAAATCTGCGGCTCAACCTCTCTTTCGCAGAGGCACAAATTGGAGAATCGAGGGTTATTGAGAGAGAATTACCATCAATTTTTGGAAATGTGTCTCATCAATTAAAATTTTATCACACTTCTAATTACCTATATCTCTTTCAGTCTTCCCTCATCATGCTCAAGTGTCTGTTGTTCTTGATTGGGAGAAAATTAGCAAATCAATTCAATGCGATTTTTTACGGGTGTTTTTTTTTTATATTAACTAACTCTCAGTGTCTTTTTTCCATTTGTCTTCTTGTCGCAAAGTTACAATTCGTTTTTTTTTCTTCCTTCAACACGAGTTCTCCTCTATTTTCGTCACATTTGATATACAGCACAAAAAAAACCTAGAGAGTGATGATAAACGTAAGAAAACATGGGGAATTTTTGTTGGGAATGAAAATGGCATTAAAATCTAACAGAAGGAGAAAAACAACAAAATTATACAAATATTGTTTGAGGAATTAATTTTTCACAATATTTACGTTTCCGTTCTCTCAGCTTTTTTTTCCTCCTCTTCTTCTCGCTCTACACTGTTTTCTGATAGCACAGATACATAAAATGTACATAAAAGTACAGCAGAATCCAGCAAAATAATGGCACAGAGAGTGAGCTTCTTCCAGTGAAATGGATATCTATTGCAAATTGAAGTCTCTCTCCTATCTTTCCCCTTTAATTTTCATCATCTCCAACGACGAAGAGCCACACGGAGAGGGTTTGCATTATACGGGGAAAAGGGGAAAAGTCGAGAGAATTGAAGAGTGTGGGCGGAAAATGAATAAGTACAATATAAAAAATTTCGTTTCACAGCCGCGCTCTGTCTCTAAGGAATTTTCTCTACCTTGCAGCCAAGTCAGCCATATATAGTCAGTGAGAGAAGTCTTGCCACCCTCTCTGTATATTTTCTAAAAACCTTTCCCTGTATTTGTTGAATTCACTCCCACACACACACTGCCTTTTGGTGGAAAATATCTTCCTGTGCCTGTGCCGTTGTGTGTATGCGTGGAAATTCTCAGACAAAAAAAGGCTACTACACACACGAAAGGGGAGAATATTTAGGGGATGGCAGCAGAAATGTCGAGGCTTCCTCCAAGTTAAGCACACACTACTTTGAATTTCATATCGGAGGCACACAGAAAGAGTGAAAATACGGAGTAAAAAGAGGGCTGCACAGCCAGTAAAAGGGAGAAATATAATTCAAGTTAAACAACAAAAAAAAGGTTCAAAAACTAAGAACAAATAAACAATTTTTGATTAACTTCCCATTTCGTCAATTTAAACGTACACAACTTTCCACCAAAATCCATAGAAATTCTTTACTGAGTACTTGTGGAAAAATGTCACGATTAAATTCCATGAGAAACTCCACTGGAAATTCGTCAAGAGATACTGGGAAAAGAAAGAAACAGAAGTCAGCTTTAAGCGGCACTTTGCAAACTTCTGAGACAGACAGAGTGGTATAAAATTTTTGGGAGAACGAGGCGAAACCCCTCATATAGAAATAAAAATTGACAATTGTCATAAAAGTGAGCTTCTTGTTGCCTCTCCCCTCGGGCCTTTGCAAATCTCTTTGAGTCTTTTTGCAAACACATAAGGAGCCCTGTAGTCTCACAATCTCCTTGTCATTTGATTGTTCATAATTTTAATAAAATTAAATTGAATAATCATCTTCTATTGCCATCAAACGAATGCACTCGTTGAGAGAAGATGAAGATTCTCAAGTATCAATTCAATTTACTATTTCATTTCATTTCAGTGTTACTCTTTGCTCTCACTCTCCGTCTCAACATCTTCTTCTTTTTCTCACTGGATTTTGCCGAACTAGTTTTGACTAAATGACGTTACAGAGAATCTTCTAAGAAACTGAGAAAGAAATTGAACTCGATCGTCTTCTAATGCGTCACTGAGATCCATTGTAGCTTTGAGATTGTACAGATCAGCGCCACAAACAATTCTGCACACTGATCTACAAACCATTCATTATATCTCTTCACGTGTCAATCACATACCAATTTTCGTGCTGTACATTGGAAAAGAATTAAACAGTCCTCTCTCAATCGCAAACAAAATATATGAGTTGTTAACATTAAAAGAAAATAAACATTTGCGCTGCTCTTTTTTTTCTTGAGTAGTGAGAATTCACTGCTCTTCTCCACAGTGTCGTGCGATTAAATTCCCCAACACACCATTCATTGTCAATTGAATTCGTTACGTGGCTTCCTCATGTCCTACATTTGTTCCTAAATCATTATCACTACAATCACAGACTTGACACACATCAATCGAATCACCTTACATGCCAGAGACCCAAATTCAGTGTCTCCAGCTTCGGCAACTTCATGATGAGCTCGAGACCCTGCGCCGACAGCCGGGTGCATCCGTACAGGTCGATCGCCTTCAGATTCTGCAGATTGTCGGCAAGTGTCTTCAGTCCCTTGTCGCTGATGCGGTTGCACTGGCCGATGTTGAGAGTCTCGAGATCGTGGAGTGACTTTGCGATGCGATCCAGTCCCTCGTCAGTGATGCCGCTCGCACTCAGGCTGAGCGATCGTAGGTGGAACAGACCCTGGGAGATGTGGATGAGCGCCTGATCGCCAATCTTGTCACAGAAGCTCACGTCCAGCGAGAAGATGGTGCTCCCACCCTCCGTGAGGTACGCCATCCCAATATCGCTAATGTTATCGCACGCCCGCAGATTCAGCTCCTCCAGCTTTGGCATTTTTGCGAGATACTTGAGTCCGCTGTCCGTCACGGACACGCAGAAGCTCAAGTTTATGCTCTTGAGCGATGTCAGGCCCAGTGAGATGAATTTCAGCGCCTCGTCAGTCAGGCGCTGGCAATCCTGGAGACCGAGATACTCAAGCGCCAGTTTCCCCTCCGTTTCCGGACTTAGTCCTGCCAGATGCCCAATGCCCTGATCCGCAATGTGCCAGCACGATCGCAAATTCAGCCTCTTAAGCTTCCTCAGCGACCACGTGATCAGCAGCAATCCCGTGTTGGTAATATTCGAGCATCCACCCAATTCCAGCACCTCCAGATTCTTGATCGCCGTCCCAATGCGCCCAAGACTCGTGTCCGTGATCTGTTTGCACAGCGACAAATCCAGCACCTTCAGGTGCTCCATCTCCGTGTGGAAGGAGGTATGGAGATTGGCATCGGTGATGTTATAGCACCCGCTGAGGTTCAGCGACTCCAAATTTGGCACACCCGTCACCACGTCCTTCAGCGTTCGCCTCAGCGATAGTACCTGAATCTTCCGGATGCCCCGACGCACTAGCGACGTGAAGAGGGTGGGTGTCGTGCGCCTCAGGTGAAGACACGCCTCGACACCCTTCCACACACTCTTTGAGTACGCCGCATCACGCCACGCTGTGCACACCTGAGCCACGCGGCCGCGATCACGCACACTCAGCTTCGCGAAGATCATCGTGAGGATCTCCGGATAGAGGTGGCCAATGTGCGTCCCCTCGGGCGGCGGACTAGCGATGGGCGTCTTGGGGCGCTGCACTATTCGTGGCGGTGGATGCAGATACAGCTGAGGCGTCGGCGAGGCTTGCAGGTGCGGCTGGTGGAGATGATATGGGGTGTAGCGCGACAGATGGCGGGGCCGGTGTGAGATCAACCCACCCGGGATTTCAGTCAGCATCAAGTGGGAGTCCTCCATGGCGTGGACAAAATGCCTGAAAATGCCTCTTCTGACTGGCAAAAGTTCCTCCTTACTTCTCTTCTATCGTGATGATTACCGTCTCAAGTTGCAATGCCACACTCCTCCTCATGTTTCCCAACCGCACGTCGGGAAATTGTCCCTCTTTCTCTGTCTCTTTGTCTGAATCGCCTACACACTTCCTGGCCACCAGGCGCGGTGCCCCTCTTGCTTCTGTGTTCCTCCAGGCAGCTCCTCTACAGCATCATTCTGCCCAGCAATCTACGCTAAACCACACAGCCTCTCAATTGCAAAATTCGTGGTGTCTTTTTTTCTCGCCAAACCTCTTCTCGCGCGCGCGGCAAAAAACCTCAAGGTGAGCCACGTTTTTTCCCACCTCCGGCTGCCACAGATCTCTTCGTTGCGGGTGGAAGTTGATTTTCTCGTGCACTATTCAGGACGTCCGACGCTCCTCATATCAACACTCACATCAACATACTACTTTTTTTTGCTCTTCCTCTCTTGCCAATTTCTCAGAACGACGAATTTGATACACTAATTTCTTATCTGAATTTTGCTTATGTGTGTTTATTTTTTTCCCTCACTGTGCTGTGATGTGAATCACTCTGTGAAAAATTCCACCAAATAGAGTCTCAACATTTGCGGTGTGTATATTTCGTAAAGATATCCCACATTCGAAGACGGGTTATTTCTTTCACCTTCTGCGGTGAAGCCACGCACTTGAGAATTCAAAATTCACTCCAAAAAAAAAGACTGCTTTAACCGCAAACACCCGTAATGAGATACAAATTTCTCAGACAAACCCTCACACTTTTGTCTACCACCAAATTCTCAATAGTCACAAATGACAATTTTCCGTCACCACTGGACTAAATGTTTCTCCACTGATCTACTTTAAATTCACTAAAGAGTTTTGCTTTATGGTCATTTGTGCGAGTTCTGTGGATGATTCAATATCACTTTCACCTCGAATAACCATACAAAAGTCTCCGGACACGCCAAAGAGTCCCCCTTTTCAAAGATCGTCCAACCAAGTCGACGATTGCCGTACAACTGACGACGATGGTGTGTTTTCAGTCTCTCGAACACCGTCGTGAGTGTTTTGTATTCTCATCGGAGCCATATCGTCAGTCACCCGCCACCAACAAAACTCCTGCCTTGGCACCCAAGCACACAGTCATCACAAACTCACGCTCCTCCATTCCCGACACTCATTCAACACACTCAACGGCCTCTCTCTCGCTCTCTCCACTCTCGCAACACACCACATTCTCTCTCTCCCTCTCCCGTATCGCACACACTCTCTCCAACGTGTCTGGCTGTGTGCGTTATCACATTTTTTTCCTCCGTGAATTCTTCAACAACACCAAATCCAGAGAGCAGAGAGAGAATGACGAAAAAAAAATCCGGCCTCACAAACCAAAACATTCACCAAACAGCATGAAAATACCAAATTCTGACTCCATTGGAGCAAACTCGGCCACTGTTCGACACAATCGGATCTTCTCCCTCTTCTTATGAGGGGAAGCCAACACACATTGACGATCCTGCAGGGAAAAAGTGGAAAAGAAACATGCCAGAAGCAGTTTGAGAACCAGTGCCCACCAACCTGTACGCACAGTGTCCTATAAACCAGGGGAAATGTCCTCTCCTCTTGTCCCAAAAGAAAACCGCCGCACTCAAGACTCAAGTGGAACGCGAGAAATTCAAGAAATTTTGTATAGACAAAAAAAACACTATGCATAAAAGTGTCCGAGAGAAAAACATGCATTAATGTGCAGACATAATAAAAGACATAGAATTTTTTTAGAGGAGCAACAGAGAGACCCCATTCTCAAAGCACAATGACAGCGATGTCATCACAATTGCAGTGCTCAAATAATATAAATTATTATAAACATTGCTGCAGAGACAATCCATGCTCACCATGTTTTTTTCAATGTAACTCCTATAAACTTTTATTTCAAAGACACCACACATGATATTTTGTGCTGTTTTTCACTTGGTGTTGCAGTGAAGCCAATCAGGCACTGTGCAAATAATAATAACAGAGACAAAGACGTTTCTGCCATTCTTTTCTTGGCAGACTTGGCGGAAAAGTCCCACGTTATTGCAATTTGCAGAGTGCGAGTTACGCATTTTGTCTCTTTTATTGCAACAATCTCTCAATATTCCTCCTCAATTGTCTCTCACATCATCCCACCCATTTCAGTTCCTGCGTATGCTTTTTTCCATGAACTCTCGCGGGGTAATTTTGCGCGGTAAAATTATACCAACGTGTGTCGCGTGTAGGTTGATGAAAACATGCGGCAAAATTATTTGCAACTCGATGTGTATTTTTTTTATATATAAGACAATTCCTAAGATGTGATAAATGGCAAGAATCTCTCTATTTGCCAGTGTCAAATAATTACAATATATACACAAAACTATGATGAATCTGATGAACGAAGAAAATACAATAAATATAAATTAGTCATTTAACAAGTCATTTGGAGCTGGAGATGCGGGACGAAAGAATTGGCGAGAAATGAGATGGGAGACACGAGATTATTTTAACAGCTTTGTATAATGCTAAAAGAGCAAAAAATCACTTTGTCTATGAATAATTTCATGTGGTGGATGACAGAAAAAACGGGCATCGGTGAGGATTTTTATGAGATATTTATCTTCTTCATCGGATTCTCTCTCGCTATATAGCATCCAATTGAGTTGGCTTTGAGAAATAGTTGCATGCAACACACCAGCAATATAATAAATTAATTTACTTCACCGTTGATGTTGCTCGCCTTTTTCTTATTAATACCCATTAAATACCCTCTCTCATTTGCTCTTGCTCGTCTATCTCTCATTTAAATACACATGAAAACATTATTAAATTTGCTATCAAAGCGTTACAAGTGGATGGCAAAGTACCCAAGAATTGGATGAGAGAATAAATGGAGAAAAAAAAATGTGAAAACATTAAATACCGGCGCGAGTTTCCAGGTTGATGTACAGATTTTTTTTTCTTCGCTTCAGATATACACACACCTGAGAAGTACGCGCATTTGTGAATTTGCGTGCTGTGGGTGAGCGAGAGACGATTACCTCAACGGTTATCACGAGAAGTAGTAGAAAGGTTGCACAAAAAAGATTGCTCAAATGCTTTTCTCTTAGAAGAGGGTTGAGCATAGTAGAGTGAAGAGAAAAAAAGAGTACATATTCGCATGAGATCAACAAAAATGCAGCACAATCCTAATGTATGGTGTTTATTGCTTCTGTCATGTGGAACACACATCTCGCGAGTGAATCATCCAAAAGGCGGAGAGGGCAGCAATCAGAGTCACGCGGGAGGAAATTGCAGGAGAAGAGAAGAAATTGTCTTGAAACACACCACATTATACAGAGATGGGCAAAAAAACGTGGATACCAACAAACAGTTAAATTCCACCAGCAAATATTAATTAAATAATTAACTTTTTTTCTCTTCACCTCGCCATCTTTCGACATCCACTATCAGCATTATGCTGCTGGTCTGTCTCACACTCTGACCATTGCATGATAATCACGCCGCCACAGTTGGCGATTTTTCCGCAAGTCTCACTCTGGCGATCTGGCCAGATGCAGGCTGATGAAGAAAGGAGAGCAAGAAGATCGCACTCTCAGGCAAACTCTTCAATTTCACTCCCAATCTCCTACTCCATCCTCATTTCCTCCTTTCCCACTTGTGTTTTTCTTACTCTTCCTACCTTTCCCGCTCTGTTTACAACACCCAATCCGACAGCCCACCATTCTAATCTCACTCATCACACTCCAGCTCTCTTCAACCCCTGCCTCAGAAACGCAAGTTCAACATTATTTAATGCAGTACAGCCGGAGAATCATTTGAATGATGTTTGTTGCCTCGTATGTGAAATTGTTGCAATTCTCTCGTGTGCTCTGCAAAAACCCAATGGCAGGCATACCATGAGAGCAGCCCCAGAACAGACAACTAAGGTGCAGGAGGAGTTGCAAAAAAAGCACACACGAGCATCAGACAAGAATAAAGCGCGGAGAAAAAGAGGATAAAAAAAAGTATAGAAAAAGGGAAGCAGAAATTATTCATTGTGAACATCTGGAATATGTACCGGACACTGCGTTCAATGAATGGATGCATAATCATTTGTGCAATGAGCCTCCCTCCGTTTTTTTCATGTCAAGCCTTCTTTTATTTATACACATACAAACATTCTTTCACGCGGATCCCAACGAGGAACAATAAACACCTTTTCTCCCCTTTCGCATGCATACATCATGGCATTCAATTGGGAAGGTATCAGAGAGAAATGGACAGGAAAAATTGCAAAAGGAAGATTCAGCAGAATACAACAGTCTGTCACACTTTAACCGCAGTTTACAACAATTCCAGCGGTAGGGAAAAATGCAATTCAGTGCGCACGGTGTGAGGAAAAACCCAATTGACATGTTGCAACATCGTTCCCGTGAGCAAAATTTTGCATACAGCAAAAAAAAATACATATGGTAAAAAGAAGAAAACCAGTTTCGCGATATGCAAATGACTTTTGAGAAATTGCAGAAAAACAGAGGAAAAAAGTCGCTTCGATGCGAGTAAATATTGTTGCATATGCGAAAATGAGAAAAAATACGTCACACACTTTGCATATTGATAAATTTATGGAACTTATTGACAATTTTTAGTGCCTCTTTGTCACTGCCGCACTCAGTCACGGGCAATGAGTGATCGTAAATTCGTGGATGAAATGAAAGGAAAACCGCCAAGTGGAAATTCTTGAGTATTCAATGAGAAAATACCTCAATGAAGTACGCACTGGAATTGCATATGTACTAAAGTGAGAGTGAAACAAGTTTCATCCGAGACACATTGAACATTTTAGGTTTGTGACCAAAATAGGGAACAGAGCAAAGTACTAAACATCCACTGCCATGCCACGCTTAAACACAAACCGTTTTCTGTTCACAAAACTACCTTATCATCATGTTCAAGTCAAAACAAAAGAGATATGATAAAGCCGCAGAGAAGTTCTTGCACAAAAGTGAATAACATAACATTTAAATGTTCATTAACACTCATTTGTTCCATTTTTCATCGCTCAAATGCCCCTTCTTGTTCGCGTATTTTCCCTCTCCTTCACTCTCACGCATAAACTTAACTTCTCATTTAAAAGCACACCTCAGAGGTGAATGCAAAATGCCTCCTAAACAGTGGCCTTTGAGCTTCAGACAGACACGTTATTATCAATGAACTTCAGCCTTTTCCAATGCGATTAACACTTGAGAGATGACAAAATAAAAATCATTTTTGTGCACTACTCATCATTGTAAAGAAAAGCCGTAGCAAATAGATCAATACAGAAATACAGGTATTATATTAAAGTATTAGTGAACCTCGTGAACGAAAAAGTACAAATTTCAATAATCATCGCTTTTCGCCTATTAATTGAATTGATGTTCACAAGGATAGACAAATTTCGTTGTTGATCATAAAAATGTTAGGGAATAGTTAAGAATTTTCATGATTCTTTTCTCTCCCAACTATTTCACACGCATTTTGCGTGCTTGTTCCACTCAAAAAGAGACTCAACTCTCAAAGATTAAGAGACGAAAATGCATTTCATTCTCTTCTATCATTATAGATGGGCGAAGCCAGTTGTACTTATTTCCATATATCTGGCACAATTTCTCTTT